AGGATGAAGGCAGAAGGACTTCGGCATCCTTCCAATGGCCCGGGCAACAGGGTAAATGCTGAAAGCCCTGATACTAGAGATAGGAATAGTAGCAGGATTTCTCTGCTCCTCTTCTCTGCCTCATAGAAGAATTAAAACCAACTGGTTTTCAAAACCCCGTAAAATGCTGAAAGCCCTGATACTAGAGATAGGAATAGTAGCAGGATTTCTCTGCTCCTCTTCTCTGCCTCATAGAAGAATTAAAACCAACTGATTTTCAAAACCCCGTATCTGTCAGCTTACAAAGCGCTGTGCAATTTAGGGTTCGCAAAAACACAACTCCCCAGAACCTGATGGAAGCTCCTTCCCCTCTGAAATCCAGATCTTAACTCATGCACAAAAGTAGGATGGGATTTTTTTGGATAGCCCACGCAATGCTCCAGCCAGCTGGGGTGCCCCTGGGGAAGGGGGCAGGCACAGCCGCGGCAAACCCACCCTGAAACAAAGGACTCGTGCCGGGCAGTCAAGCAGGCTGTGATTTACTGAGACAACAACACTTCTGCAACAGAGAACACGACTGCACCAAGGCACCCGGCCAGCAAACCCGCAGCGCCGCCGAGCATCGCCACGCTGGGAGCCCGGAGAGGCGACACCGAGAGCAGAGAGCTGAGGGATGCTCGCGGTTCCCGACGCTGGTTTCCATCCCGTCTCCCCTCCAGACACACAGACACAAAACAAAAGCCTGCTGAAACACGGCAAGGCTGCTACATGCCAAGGGAGGGAGCGAAAGGCAACAGGTTTCAGACGGGCTCCATGGGGCATTGCAGCCACGCCGGAAGCGACGGCGTGCGATTCCCTCCGTAGGCACTTGATCCGTGGAGCTGCCGCCGGCCAGATCCTGCAGAAAAGCCCGTCCTGGGGGCCACCAGGCAGGGCCCAATGCTGCCGGGGCCGGGCAGCGAGCTCGATGCCTCCCCAGTCGGCAGAGAGTGAACTGGGAGGCCTGGGGGTGAGGGCACCCAGCTCCTTGTGCAGGGTGCGGGGTGGCAACGGCGAGAGTCCCCACGCCTGCCGGGGTCCCAGGCGGCAGGTTTAAGGAGATTCACCCCCTTCGTGCCTCATCACGGACCGTCCTGGAGCATCCTCCGACGCCGAGCCAGCCACGGCAGCTGGGCAGAGGCGCCGGCAGCGTGCACGGCGCAGGTCGGGGCTGGAGAAGCGAGAGCAGCGGTGAGAGCAGCGTCAGGCTCCAAAACGGGGTCACCCCCTTCATCCCCTTTTCCTTCCCTGAAAGCCAAGGGGATGAAGGAAGCGCTGCACCAATGCCACGCACCCGCCCGAGGGCAGAACAAGGGACCCATTGACTCCGGGAGCCCCCAAAGCGGGCGAGACGCTTGTTTTGCCGATGGCTCCAGATTAACAGAGCGCTGGGCAGCTCCTAGGAGTCAGCCTGGGTCTTTTGGGAGAACCAAGGGATCAGAAACCAGCTCACTAGTAATCCCAGGAGGGCTGAGATGCATGTGCCCCGGGAATCAACCCTGCTCTGGGAAAGTCACGGGGACCAGAGTGGGTCGTGGTGGGCAGGGAGCTGAAGAAAGGCAGAAAACAAGAGGTAGGTTTTGCTCGTGAGCTAAAATACTCCCGACCTCCACCAGCTCTGCTCACAAAAAAGCAAAAGATTTTGTGCAAAGCAGATTCCTGCTCACGATGCTTTGCTAGGGAATGGAGGGGATGCTTTCCTCCATGGGAAGGTTTCAAAGAAAAGATGCTTTGTCTAAGGAGGAAACACCCTTTCCCGTATTCCCACATTTCCCCAGTTTCCCAGCTCTCTGCAGCTGGCCAGTTTTCAGCTCTTACACTCACATTCCCCTTCTTACCCATCCCTCCTCGGCAGAGGAGCCAAAACCCCCATGCCCGTGAATCAGCTGCATTTCCTTTGATTTTTCTAAGCCCCCAGACAAAACCAGTCTAAGTCCAACCAGAACTGGGGCCTTTCTCCAAGAGAAAATTAAAGATTAAAAAATTAATAAAAAACCCCACAAAACCTGGAACCTGTATTTCCCCCTGGGAACACCACTGACTTCTAGTAACAAGTGAGCTTTTGGTTGAAAAGCTCCCAGCTTCTCCTCCCTGTCTCCTCCTCTTCTTCCCATCAGCTTCTGGAAGCCTCCGGTGCCTTCGGTCTGCTATGAATTACGGTGGATAATGAAGCTCCCGGCAATCCCCGGGGTATCGCTGGGCTGTGCTGGAGCCAGAAAGGGACTTCGCTGCACCATGGTGAGAGCTGCCCGTCATGGAGAACAACTCGGCCGGGCTCCCGTGGAGCCGTGGTACCCACGACGGGTCCGGGGATGCAATTTGTGTCCGGCCGCCTCTTGGCTTTAAGCAGCACGAATGCAAGAAGCAGAGGTGGGGAGAACGACGGCTCCGTGTCATCCTGGGGTTTGGGAGGGCTCTTCCCCTCTCTTCCCTTCAAGGGGGTTGAGGTCTGGCCACGGCTCTCGGGATAGATGCTGCAGGGGCCCCAGTGCACGCCCACCAGCTCGGAGGGGTTTAGAGGGTCAGGCAGCCTTTAAGAGAGCAAGCCTCCAAGCCATTGGGTGCAAAGGCAGGTCCCTGCCGTTCAGAACCAACAGATCAGCGCACAGGAGGCTCGTGCGAGAAGGAAGGATGCAGTGTTTTGGCAGGGAATAAAATTCCTCCATTATTCTAACGCAGGGGATCTCTATTTGTCAAGTGCGAGGGGCTGGTTTCCTTAGCCCGTCTCTTCCTTCAGTCCCGGGCGCCTTTGCTCTGCCTGCAAAGCTCCGAAGGCACGGGGCCGGCTGCAGGGGGTCTCGCAGACCCCCTCTGGGATCGCAGAGGGGCTGAGGGAGCCCAGCACTGTCTGGGTCCCAGCCTCCGACTGGCCTGGCTTGTCGGTGCGTCGCTGGGTCGAGGGAAGGCAGCATCCTCCCGGCCGTGACGGCGGGGTTGCTCTGGTCAGTCCCAGACTGGATTTCCTTCGGTCCGTGAGACGACCAAGTTGTCAGACATTCACCTTCGCCAAAAGACATCTGAGGAGGCAGAAG